CTTCTTCCAGTCTATGGCAGTCCTGCCTTCAAGTATCTCACAGTGAAGTGTCACCTGCAAACATGATAAGAATGCACTTCTCACCTCTTCAAGGTCATTGTTAATGATGATCAGGAAAAGCTGAAAAATATTTATCTTTTATAGGTATTAGTTTTTCTAAAATACATCTTGTACAGCAAAATACCCATGCATGTTTGGGTCATGTCCTGTGGCTTCTTGGCCCATGTAGTCACAGAGATCAATCTTTTGTGGGGCTATTTATGCTTGTAGGAAAAGTGATTGTACATAATTACAGATTAAATTTAATTCTGTTTTCATGATGAAAACAGGAGGAAAAGACAGGAGTCACTTTCCTTTTCAGAAATTTAGACTTGCTTTCTATCCAATTCTGTGCAGAAACAAGTATGCTACTGTCTGATGGTTTCAAAGGACTGAGGTGGGGTTATGATTGTGCAGTTGTTGATGTGCTCCTTACAGGATCCCCTACCAGTATCCATTTCTTTCAGACTGTATATAAATGCAGGATCGTGTTTGTGTTAAAGTAATCAGTTTGTATCATTTAAGGTGCATCTAGATTTGCATTTGATTCTGATCAGAAGTGTTCTTTTAAAGTGATTTTGGCTGTCTTGTGGGATGGTTTTTTAGAAAACTGTCCAGCACTTGTTCAACGACCTCAGGAGGCCATTGGATATGAAGTCCTTAATTAATCCGAACAGATTTACATCCTTAGTACAAGGATGTAAAGTGTCTTCGGCACTGAAAAACCTTTCAGTTTTTGCAGTCTTTTCAATCATGGCAAGTTTTTTAAAAGGCCATCAGTGTTCTAGATTTACAGCTGGCACATTGCAGGTGTTTCCTTGCAAATGTTCACTCAGGAAAATCCACTTTCTGAATAAAAAGTTGAATATTACACAAAATCAAACATTACTACTGGTAAAGTAAAGATCACCTCTTTGTCTCATTCACTAAGTGAATCAGATCTCTCTTAGTGTAAATCAATAGAGAGAAGGAATGAATCCTCATTAAAAAAAGGAAAATTAAATATGACAGATTTATTCCTCAAGAGCTCTTATTTTCCTATCAGCTTATACTGTTGTGAATGAAATTATTCTTTAGAGCACTTGTACAGTTATTTTGGGGATTGTAAGCTTTTCTAGCTGCATCTCAGGGCCTTTATTTTCCAATATGAATCTAGGAAAACTTCCAGATAAAATATTCTTGCTTAGGTTTATACTTCATTACCTTGATTATGGTATTTAGGAAAAAATGCATCCCAATCTTTTTATATCTATTTGGCACCATTTCTTACTGATTTCCCTCATCACTTAAATAGCTTCTTTGATTGGACTTGTGTATTGAATTTCCTTCTCTACTGCTATATTATTTCTTTCCCTTATTCCTTTCTCATTATCAGTATGTCTTTGTGTCATGTACTTTCTATTTAAAGGAAAAGCTTTCCTAATTTGTTTTACTTCGGGAGCTGTTTGCATTTCTGAATTTTCTCTACATGGAAATTTCCCATTAAAAAGCCCCACTTGCTCCATGCCTGTTTTCCTTCTGACTCCTCTCCTTTGGTTGCCATCACAGCATTTTGTAGCACAAGTATCCAACTCTTGTAACTAAACTGACCACTCAGGTAAATATCTTTTTTAGAATTTGCCTTTGGGCTTTATTCCCCCCTTAATTAATTGCTACTAAAGTTGGCTTGTTAGACCCAGAAATTTGGCATGCAGTACCCATTGTACTCACTCAGATTTATGTCAGCCTTCCTGTGCATAAGATTCAGCATCTCAGAGGGTAACATGCCATATACCTTTGATTTCTTATTTTGTGCACATCCACTCTATCTTCTTTACCTCTGACTCAACTATTTAATTTCTAACTATATGCTCTGACAAGGTCATCTCAAGAGTAGAAAGTGGAACTTTGCTATGGTGCATTTATTGTGCCACAAGCACCAAAAAAGTCAGATTTAGTACTTGAAATTCAGTTAAAATAGGCATCTTTTATGGAAACAAGAAATAGCTTAAGAAATAGTCTCTCTTGGTGATTCTGAGAGATTCTCATCTCACTATAAATCTTGCCATAAAAGGAACTACAACATCATATTTCCTAATATTATCATCTCCAGCACAATGTTTTGAAGAATGATATCCAGAGATTTCCTTATAAAAATAGTTACATACTACAGTCATCTTGCTATAGTAGCTAGAGGGTTGAACAATATAATTCTTCTATGCATTCCATTTTTCATATTTGTATATCAGAATACATGCATGTCTTTATTTGTAATCAGTATGATCAGAAAGTTGAAAATACATTGATACATGCTCATATGATTATTAATGAGAATTGTGGATCCAAAGCAAGGACTACCTTCTGAAGGAAACCTGGAAATGCATAGTTTATTCTATATACTGTAATTCTAAACTGATGTTGGAAAATGACTAAGGAAAGTGATCTTATCTCCTTCTCAAAGAGTTCCCATTTAAAAGAGATCTTATGGCATCACTGAGGATCTTTGTTTTTATGAATGGATCAACATGTTTGTTTGTTTGTTTTATTTTGATGTACACTGAACTGTCTTTACTTCTTTGTTTTCTGAGAACTGAGCAGTCCAGGACAAAATTACTTTTTCTCTGAAGTTCTTCTTTTCTGGATTTCACTCATGCATTACCTTCTTTCAAGTTCTACCAAGTTTCAGCTCTACATATTTCAGTTCATTCACCCTTAAACTTATTTGTACTAAAACCCAGAAAAATACGTCTTTGTACATAAACTTTGCAATGAACTCTAGGATCTTAAAGCATGTAAAGCTAAACATAATGCAGAGTTACTTAGACATCAAATCTTAGTTTGGAATCACTTGGACTTTTAAAGTCTTAACGTCCAGATTTCTACAGCTTGTACACAGTGTTGGTAAAATACCTGTCCCATGAAGTTATTGTGAGAAAGATGAGAAGTAAGACCTGTCATAGCAAATATATGTATTCTATATATCATGCTGTATTTTCTGTTTCTCAAATGGCTATTTGTACTCTGACTGCACAACTGTGACATCCAAGTGTGTAGTTATGCAAGTCAACAGTGCTAACCATTATTTTTATTAACTAGATTTCCAGGAAAAAAAACAACCAAAAACCACCTTTTGAAAAAAAGTTGCAACAAGTAAATTTGTGTCTAAAAATACCAAAAGTTAAAATCCAGACAATGCTAAGATATTTCTTATTGTGCTTTTTTTTGACTGAGAACATTTATTTACAGTAGCAGTTTAGTGGGTGAGATTATGTGAGATCTTCTTTACTTCAAAAAGTTTTGACTTTCAATGAAACACAGAAAAATAGATACAATGTACAGACAGCATGGGAAGGAGAAAAGATAAAAGGTAACTATGTGGTCATATTTCCAAAAATGTGAATCTGAAGTATCTGGCAGTTTTGAAATACATAAACAAGAAAGGCTTGATTTCAGTTAGTTCTTGCTACCAGCGCAACAAGTCAAAAAACATTTATCTGTTAAAGGTGTATATTTAAGTTATTTCTGTTCATAACAAAGAGAAAGAGGGATATTCATAGAAGGTGGGTATCAGATTTTTATTTAAATAGAAGACCTGTCAAAATACAGCATAGTGTCAACAACTCCCTTCTGAGTGTTAGGCTCTATCATTCTTCTTCATGTCAAATTGTCATAACATGCCTGCCATTGTCTTTTTCAATTAACCTTAAAACTAAGTCTGGGAATTATACAAGGAACAAAATTTATACTGAATACTCACATTTGGCAATACTGTCCAATAGCAATCATTTTTTCCTGGTACTGAGAAAATCATCTGGATAAGAAGAGTCCTCCGGTGACTCATAATAGCTGGATTTCTTTCCAGTTACCAAACCCTTTCCAGGTTTCTGATAATTTATTGATACTAAATTCCCTAGAAGTAATGTATTTTTTTCTGCAATTTACAATTGAGGAGACACTCTTGCTTCCATGTTGCATACTCTTTAAAAGGAATCCTTGGAGTAACTGTGGAAAATTGGAGGATGGCACTTTAAATGACAATAAAATGTTTCATATACAACATTCACTGAAATGTAGGTCACTGGAACAGGCTCCCCAGGGAAGTGGTCACAGCACCAAGCCTGCCAGAATTCAAGGAGCGGCTGGACGATGCTTACAGTCATATGGTTCACTGTTAGGTAGCCCTGTGAGGAGCAGGGAGTTGGACTCAATGATCATTATGGATCCTTTCCAAGTCGAGATTATCTATGATTCTGTTATTTCTGTTGGCTTACACCACATGTTTGAAACCTGACATTGTCTCTTTCTCGTGCTTCCAGAAAACTGACAAACTTTCATACTGAAAAATCCCTTTTCCCCCATCCAGAACTGCCTTTTTTATTTTTCCTGCACCTCATAGGTATTCTGTATACCACTTCATACCTCTTATTATTTCAATGATCAACGTCATATCAGGGATGGAAAGATTTGGGGGTATTGGGTATACTTGAAGTCCCAGCCATGCATGCTAAGAAGTGCAATTGGAAGTTCAGCTTGATTGGCCAAACAATGTGTAGAGTTTCTGTAACTGATGTGATGTTATTAAATTATTATTAAATGTAGATTTATGTTAATGATTATTCCAGTAGCAGCATATCACATAGGATTTTTCTATCACAAAGACCAAGTGTCTTCACAGTAGAAAACCCATTATGATTCTGTGTATCAGTACTGCTACGTCAGTCTTTGATTATGCATGTGCTAAGAAAAGTGTATTTTCTACCTTGCAGCAATACTGCTTCTGTAATCTTTAGTGCTCTTTGTCCACAGCAGCTTTCCCAACATTTTGAAAACTACAAGGCTGTGTCATTTCTTGTGTCTATTTCTGCATTCCAACTCACCTGTGTCATTTCTCCTTTAAGGTAAATAATTACAGTTTAGAAGAAGTTACCCATGAAGAGGCAGTAGCGATACTGAAGAACACATCAGATGTAGTGTATCTGAAAGTTGGAAAACCCACCACCATTTACATGACTGATCCATATGGCCCACCAGATATTACTCATTGTAAGTAACTTCCACAAATCATTTTGTAGGAGATATCAGTTTGTCAGATGATTGTGTTTTTTTCATAGTTTGTCCGAAGTACCCCATTGAAGTTTATGAAACAGCTCGGAAGGCTATAAAATGAAATGCTTATCACCGCTTAAGTATGCTACACTCAAGAATAGTGCAAATAATAGAGCTCTGCTAAAGTAATTTTTAAGAAAAAGTTGCAATGTAGATGACGTATGGCTGTGCTGATTCAAATTAGCTATTGTCCAGGTGATCAGACTGAACTGTAACTCTTGTGACAATTACAGTAATAAGTATGCAAATGTATTTTGAAATATGATTAGATTTGTAGTCTGGAGTCCTCTGTCCACGAGCAGCAAATCATCTTCTGCAAACTGAGTGAAAAGGCTGAGACAAATATGTATCATATTTTAATAAAATATTTAACTGGAAATTAAAAAACTTTACCTGTTTTCTGTGTATTTCCAATTCATAGAGTCATAGAATGGTTTGGGTTGGAAGGAACCTTAAAGATCATCTAGTTCCAACCGTAGGCAGCCTGTTCCAGTACTTCAACTACCTTCAAAGTGAAGAATTCCTGAATTATTGTTCCACTTTGCTTTATTCTCAGTCTTTCTATTAACTTTATATACATTCATCTGGTATTTTTTCACAGAGGACCAAGGCCTTGTTTGTCCTTGTATTCAATGCACACTCTGTTGTAGGAGAAGGTTTTGAAACAATATAGTAAAGCTCAGTGAAGTATCACATGGGAAGGGAAGATGACTTCATTTTAAAATGAACTGATTTCAATCAGGCTGTCATACCCATGCACTCAAAATCATCTAGGCTCATATCCAGCATTCAGGTAGGAAGATGTGCACTGCAGATGCATCCCTAGGACTCCCTGAATTGTCCATGTACCAAGGTGGGTGGGTGGCTGTGGAATCCTTATCATACACATATACCTTCTTATGCTGACAGCCTTCTTGCTGATATGCTTTTTATACTCTTGTGGACATGACAGCAATAAGGATCTTCTGTCTCTCCCATCTGTCCCACCTATGCATGTGTTCAGGATTTACTCATTACCTTTTGTCTCCTTATCTGAGTGTCCTAGGCTCCAACCTAGTCTTTATCACCCACCATCATCTTTTAATGGCTTAAGTATTTGGTTTACTTTTGGTGTAGGGTTTCCTGGCAAGGTACAGGTAGTTATATTGAGTATTAATGACCTATTGATGAATCTAGGTTTATCAATACATACCATTCTTATACCCTCCTGCCAGTCCTCCTAGTGTCCATAACCAGGCATTCCCATTCTCTTGGCATCCACAGCAATCTTAACATTTCAGTTGCAGCTCTCTATACCAGTGGTGCCCATTAGTCTAAACAGTTCATTACTGAAACTCCCTTTCTTCATTTGGTTGTTCATTTAAAGCTGTCTGCCTTGGGTTCAACAACCAACAGGGACCAGCTGCATGTTCTAGCAATTGGATGTCAATTTAATTTTTGACAAGAGCTTCAGCAACTGATCCATAAACATCTGATCTTCTGCCAATAATCCTAGGGGCACTTAAGGCCAACTAAGAGCTGGGAAAGGCAGATCTTCCTAGTAAATGGAAAAGATTTATATTTTTATCCACTTTTCCATAGTGTTGCTATTGTGGACAAAGTTGAGGAAAAAACGAAATATCCAAAATACTCCTTATTCAGACTGCTCCATAAAAATAGAAGGAAGGTTTTGTAACATGCACATCAGGTGGTATGCTCAGCTGTGCTGAGGGTACCTATTTAGTTAGCAAATGTTACAACAGATGGCAATCATGTTGTTCAGTGGCAGTCTGGTCTGGATCTTAGGAAAGCCTAGGAAGTAAAAATGCTAAATGTCTCTACCCAATCTCCTACTTTATAATACCTTCAAAATAATAACTTGGGAGTTCTAAAACACTGTGTTTTATTATGTCAGATTATAGATCAATAGCATATGAGAAGACAGAAGTAATTCCAGAGGGAGAGTAAAGGTTGAAAAGATTTGCACTAGCCTCTCTCAAGCTATTGGTGCACACAGATTCATTTATCCTCAGGGAACCTTTCATTATACCTACATGTTCAGAGTATTTCAGAATGTGTAATGGCCCTTCCGTGTCAAGAGATTTTGCTTTGAAACATTCTGTATCTCCGCATCTGAAAGGAAGACTGAAACTAATACTAGAAAGTTCAGCTGTCTTCTTCTCATGAGAAAATGAATCATAGCTCATTGCAGAAGCACATAACATTGTTTTTCCTATTTATCATTTCCTTTTCTAATTGTATTGACTAGAGTTTGAATACAGCTATTATTGCATCTCTCCAGTCATAAATATCCCCAATAACTTCAGAATAGCAAAAAGCAAGCAAAGAACAAGACCTGCAACCCAAACAGAATCTGAAAACAGTCCTGTAATTTTCATCATTAATGTGTAAGAGATTTGTATCAATTTTCTATTTTAAATATATAGATGGTCCGAATACCATCTATGCTGGTACTGCAATCTCAATTATGTTGGGGGTTTGAGCACCTTTAGTAGATCACAGCTTTGTATCTTCAGTGTGTATAAT